TGATTGATGGTGTTATATGTAGTGATGATGGATGATGTTATATGTAGTGATGATTGATGGTGTTATATGTAGTGATGATTGATGGTGTTATATGTAGTGATGATTGATGGTGTTATATGTAGTGATGATGGATTGTGTTATATGTAGTGATGATGGATGGTGCTATATGTAGTGATGATGGATGGTGTTATATGTAGTGATGATTGATGGTGTTATATGTAGTGATCTCAAAAAACTCCAACCATTTCGATCCGACACAGCTTCGACGCACACACACGTAGAAAAGTCGTATTCCCTCCTATGGTTTACAGCTATTTTGATCCTTAGGTTCTCTTTCATTATGGCTTACTTTTCTCTGCATTTAACCTCCATCCATTACACCACACAGAGGTTGAAAAGTCGTTTCCCATCCCACGTATTATAGCTAATTTTATCCTTATGCTCTTTCTCATTACAGCTTACTTTTCTTTGATCTCTAACTTTTCTAGGCTGTCCATTCTAACAAGGTAGGTAGGTAGTCCATTCTAACGAGGTATGCCAAACGTTTCTGCTATCTATATATATAAAACAAAGAAGTCTGTCTGTTTGTATATATGTCCACGCCATAATCTTGGAAACTACTTTACCGATCTGTAGTGATGATGGATGGTGTTATATGTAGTGATGATGGATGGTGTTATATGTAGTGATGATGAATGATGTTATATATAGAATATGAAAAGTATCCCTCTGTTGTCATTGGCAACATGGATAAGAAATGTGAATACAGCTGTGCAAAGAAGTACAAAGGAGAAAATGCTGGACTGTGCTGCTTTCATGGGAAAGTACGACTGCCAAATTTGGAAAAACCACCACAACCATTGAAGACTCTTATGCTGGGAACAACACCAGAGACAAAATACTTCTTGGAAAATATACGGAAATACATTTCATGCTTCCAGATGACATCCTTTGGAGCTACCAGAGTAGTTCATGAGCACAGATACATGCGTACATTCAAAGTCCAGGGTCAAGTCTATCACAAAGCAGGATCCTTTTTACCACTGGAAGATAAGCAGGCAAAGTTCCTCCAAATCTACTTCATGGGAGATCATGAAAAGCAGACTACTATCATGAGCGCAACACATATGTACAGTCATTTAAAAATGCCCTGGAAAACATGCCTTCTGACGAGTACAAAGTCAGGATCAAAGCAGACACCTTAATGCACTACATTGAGACAATGTGGAGCCTCCCGGAGGGTGGCGTCCTACAGTGGCCTAGCGAAATAGCCGCCCGGAGGGCAGCAATTCCGCTAGTATGAATTAAAGGGGTTTTTTAGGAATGACAATGATGTGTGCAGTACAATACATTTTGAACAATCCCGTTAGATTTGACTTTGCCTCCCTTACTACCTTCAGTTCATTTTTGCTCTTTGCTTTTCTTGTCTCAGTCTTAACCCTACTGGCCAATACTTTATAATAATCTCGGATGTAAACATCACCACGATTTATTCTCCTACCCATAGCCTTCCTTTGTCCAATAATATTCTTAAAATAATTATTTATCCATTTGGGGTCATTGTTATATGATTTGATTCTGTATGGTATAATCTGCCTTTGTGCATTAAGTAACTCATTTAAATTGTTAGGGAACTCATAAACTTATGTTATGGAACTCGTCACCTCGTCCTCCTTGAGCACTTCATCGAGTTGTGAGAAAGGTGGCAAATTGTAGTTTGGCACAAAGGCTCAAATGGAGTCATGGTGGTTCTCAACTTATGGACAGTGCCGGATTTAGGCCGTGGACAGTTCAGACTTGTATAGGCCCTGAGCCCCACACTGTACTGCGCACATCATTGTCATTCCTAAAAACCCCCGTTAATTCATATTACGCTACATAACATTTAAATCCACTGCGCTTGTAGAATCTCAGAGAACGGGAAACATTGATAAAGGATAACTCACCTACTCAATGTTACTGAATCATGTGTTGTATTGTACCCAGGTACAGTTATATAATGTTAATTGTATGTATTCATAGCATTAAGGAGAACTCAGGGTATCCAAAAGATGATCGGGAAAGTCCAGTTGAGCCGGACTAGTGTACTGTAGGACTAAGTGTGGATCATGGTTTGAAGGTCATACTATTTACGCCTGTGAACGTGTAGCGAACATAACTTCCACAGATATCATATGAAAATACATGAGAACAATGATCTGGAAAAGGGATAAATATGTCAGAACTGTGTGAGGTGTTGGAAGTGACCCAGAAACTATTCTTGAAAGGAAATATCTTGTATGTATCGGGGTGAACTTAATACACCTCGTATCCTCACGTGACGTATACTCACAACATGTACAGTGATCAGAGAATCTTATGCCTGTGTTCAAATAGTGCAAAGTATGAGAGGAAGATCCCTAATTACAGTTTTAAGTGAAGTGGATATACCCACGCTATGAACATTCGGCTTTTGTTTTAAGGGGAGCGTCCTGTGTACAAGCCTCAGGTGTGCCGCGTTGGTATTATAACCCATTGAATTTACCCACGAACTAGCAAACCAGAACCTTCCCTTAGTGTGTAATTTAGGATTAAAATATGTGTTTATAAGGCATGAGTTACAATATACCGGAAAGTGTTCAGGTGAGAACCGTAAGAAATAAAAGTAAAAATTAAAGATTGGAAACTATAGGCCTATGCCGTGGTGGGCGGCGGGCACTGCCCTCAGCATCCTCCGTTCTACCGTCATCTCAGGTCAGTGTCCTCTATTGGGCTATATCCCGTCCTGTAAAAAAGGCTTATATAGAAGTTATTACAGTTTAAATCTTTGCCTGATGTATAAGTGTAATAGTAATGTGTTAGGGTGTGTGATAACCGCCCGTCAGGCATTATTTCTGAGTATCCTCAGTTCTACCGTCATCTCAGGTCCCATGCGGTCGGAGTGCCTTGCTGGGAGGCGGCCATTATCCCTGTGAGCGTCCCACCAGGTGGTGACTACTCCCAGCTATGCCAATCCACTGTGAACCTGTGGATTCCCAGCACACCACCCCAAACGAGTAGGAACAAATAAGGAGAATGTAAGAAACTCTGCGGTCGTCACTTGGAGCGACCTACAATACCAGGCGTAGAAATAGTACTGGTATGTCTCTTGGTGTTGCCCTTGTCTCTCCCCACCGAGGGCGTTGTGCGAACGAGGTGCTTGTTATATATACCTAGAAATTACAAGGAGTCCCATACTTGCAGGTGTGGAGTGTAACAGCTGTGTTGAGCTGGTGCTACAGGGAGGTGAGATGGTGCTACTCTGTATAATGACCTAAGGTGCTATATTCCATACAGGTGGAGCAGTCCGACATGTTGAGTGATATTGTAAGAAAGATATCCAAAATCATCGTTGTTCTTCTGAGGAAGGCCAACTCACTTGTATTTTTTTGTGACTATGCTCGTCT